CTGATGACTTTCAATCCAAAATCTTTTTAAAAGATGGAAATGAGTATATGTTTGTGTATTTTCAACTAAATGTTCCTTTCTAATGGTCCCTATAACAGGAATTTTGTAGGATCTTGTATTTTGTGGGAAGAGGTGGTGGTAGGGATTGGTTCATCATTTGGGTACTTAGATGGTAAAGCTTTATAATTGTTTGAATTGAGATCGTTTGGACTGATTTTTATACACACAGATTTTCAGGACTTCCCCCTTTTATTTTATTTCCTTTTAGCCATCTTTTTTCCTTGTAGTTCCTGCCAGGTAGACTTCATTTTCACACGCATTTTTCTTTCTAATTCCCATTTATAGGGCTAAAGGCCCAGGCAAGACTTAGAAGGCAGGGAGCATCAAGAAATTCAAGATACCCAGGTCCCTTTCAAGCAAGCATGGCCAAGAAACTCTGCTTTCTTTGCTGAGTTATCTTCAAATTATTTTCAGCTTCCCTAGGTATATAGTCATTCCAGGGAAACTGAGGCAGCACCAACAGCTATTGACCCAAAATGGTCAGTATAGGCAATTTACCTACAACTTCTCTTTTCCCCAGCCCTTAAATCTTCGGCCACTTTATCAGATTTGCCTTATGATCCTTTATTAGATTATGTGGGGAGGTAGTCAGGACAAAAATGTTAGGTTCCCAAGATTTCTCATTTCATTTAGTTAGGCTGAACTTTTTTAAATTGATACAAAGCACTACCTCTCTTACATTAACACACTTTATTTCCTAGTTTTTGTATCTGTCTTATGCACATGTGTAAATATCTAGCTCCCCTTTTGTGTATTGACCTCCTAAAGTTAATGAGCCTGTGTGTTTATTTTTTATTCTTTCAGTCTTGCTTACAGCTAGTATTCTGTGAAAGATTTGTTCAATAAATAGTGAATGAATGGTACATCAGTCAGACTTTAGAAAGGTAGGTAGTTATGGATAGTTCAATGTTATAAGAGGCCTTAATGATGATCTAATCTTGCCCCTTCAGTTTCTTCTGAAGTATGAAGACGTAGTCTTTTTAGGACTGAACTCAAAAAAAATCTGAAACTAGTAAACTAAATTTCAGTGATAATTTGAATAAGAAAAAACTAGATATTAACTTCAGTCATGTAAGATTCAACAGTTCTGTAATGAACATGCAAATATGTCCCCAGCAGACATGTAATCACGTGTCAGATGTCCAGATTGCATAGGTTTAGGTTTAAGTTAACTACTCATAAAATAAATCCATTTCTGCTAGAACTCTATGACCCAATTCCATGAAATGGTAAACATTATCCTCTCAGACATTACAGATAATTCTAGAACGCTACACAAACATGTGTCAATAAAGGCATCCCCCAATGGGCCCTACCATCTCCAGATTTAGACACTTAAAGAAACAAATATGTGCTTTTAAAATGCAAGCATAAGACCGGTAGTAAGGTTTTAAAACCAGAACCACTTTTGGCATTCCACTAAGTGCATACTGTAAATTTAATGAGCAGATTTCACAGTAGGAATTTATCCTTTTTTGCCTTCATTCCTTTGAGATTGACAGATAATGACAATAAGAAAATGTGCCAATTGTAATTACCCACATGTTCTTGGATCACTAGCTATCATTACCAGTGAATTAGAATAACCATAATTTTAGTATGGAATGTTCTGACTACTTGAAGAGTTTTCTGATATTCTTTGCAAGCTCCTGTTTTAGCAAGTAGATTGAGAATAGTTTTAGTTTTTTTCTTATTCAGTAGTTTTGCAGACTTAAAAGTGTAAATTTAGAAGACGGAGGTATAACAGTAAGAATCTCAAAATGTCGAAGGGCCTTCAGGAGCCAGAGCAGCATACTAGAGCACAGGCTTGGTAGGCCTAGACTTGAACGTAAATCCCAGCCCAATCACCTGTGTGACTGTGGGCGCCAGTCTGTTCACCCTTCTGAGCCTGCTTTCTTGTTTGTAAAAAGGTTATGAGTCTCTCAATATTGTGAAGATTAAGTGAAATGTGTAAATTGCCTACTACAGTAGGCCCTCAAATATTTATTTTTATTGCTTTTTATTATACATATTATTTTTCCTATGTTTTTATAGCTGCCTAAAGTCTAAGGGCGGGGGAAGTGTGGTTAAGTGATGCTTGACTATAAGAAAATGGTAAGCTAATCCATCACAGTGACTTGTTTTCCTTCCAGCTTCTGGGGTTTTGTGTGTTTTCTCTAACCATACACAAGAAATCCACATTTTTAGACTAAAGAAGCAAGAAAATTGTGTCAGTGCTCGTGATTATTTCTAGCTTGATGGTGAAGTGGAAAGACATTGTTGGCTTGCAGACAATGTGTACGGAAGCTTTGGCTCACCTGAAGGAGGGGATCGTGGTGTTTCAGTACTTGGATTCTACAAATCTGTAACAGTTTCCTCACTGCCATAAAAGAATCAGTCTGTTTGATACTGATAGAAGTTATTTGGTGGTCTTTCATGGCAAAAGATTTGATAAGTGAAGAATGGTTCTTAAATACTAAAGCAAAATAAAATAGGGAAAACTAAGGATGAAACATAACATTCAGAAGCAACTTTAATAAAACCCGAATTGAAGTAACAGCAGTTCGTGTGTTAGTGTCTTTGTCTGCCTGATTCATATTGTATATTGACCTGTTAGGGTCACTTCGCTGATCCCTGACCCACCTTGTTGGCACTCGGTGGAACTACCGAGATCTCACAGCAGCCCAGCCAAGTGGATGCAGTGTCAGCATTCCACACCCTGCTTCAGTGTTCAAGGTTTGTCTGTTTTCCACCTCCTCCCTTCTTTCTGATTTCTGTGTATTTCTTAAATCTGGACTCCTGTTTCTGCCTTCCTCTCTGACGTTGCGTTATTTTCTTGTGCTTGCTTTGTGGTTCTAATTGTCTTACCTGCTTTAACCACTTCACTTGCACTGCAGGACTCCTGACCATCCTCTCAACCGGATTCCTGGCATGTGGCCTTGTTCTGACCTTCAGCTTCCACACGTGCCTCCCAACCTCTGCCTGGCCTTGTGTTTAGCTCTGCTGCTCAGCTGGTTTCCCCATACCCAGCCTCCTGGCTGAGTGGCGCTCTTTGGAGCCAGCCTTTCCTGCAGTTTAGCCTTGCATTTTAATCATTCCTCCAATCTTGTCTGTACACCTTGGCTCCATAATCCACTGTTTCCCGTATTCCCAGTGCTAGGCAGTAAGTATATTCTTATTCCTACTCACTCAGACTTTGTCCACGTTCTCAAGTTCACCATGAAAGTTTTATAACATGGCTACAAATCCCCTTGAATCTAGACTTGGTGATTGACCAAGAACATAGAGTGAAAGTGACACTGCCAGTTTCTGGATCCAAACCTTCCAGTCTGGATGCTCACTCTTGGAACCCAGCCAACAAAGCAAGAGCAAGCTGAAGCAGCCTGTGGAATGGAACTGAGGGTCCTGGCTGAACCATCAGCTGATAGCCAGCACCACGTTGCCAGCCATCTCAGTGAGCCATCTTGAAAGTAGATCTTGCAGCCCCACCTGACACCACGTGGAACAGAGATGAACTGATCTCACAGCTCTGCCCGAAGTGAAGATTTATGGACAAAGTAAATGATTGTTACTTTTAGCCAGTAAATTTTGGGGTGGTTTATTATGCAGTAATAGATAACTGATAGTCACCAAACTTCACTCCCAGTCTCAGTAGTAGTGGTGCACCTCAGCCACCAGAATTGTGCCTCTTTGCTTTTCCTCTTACAGCTCTTTAATTTGCCCTACAACTTTGATGTGCTCACACAATGTCAGTGTGTGGCAGGACTGGAAGAACTTAACAGAAGAAAAGAGCTCTAGATTCTAGAGTTACCAAGGACTCTAAAATTAAAAGCAGTTCAAGAAGTTGAATTTTTGGTCAATATGATTTACTCTACCAAAAAAACCTACAAAAGTCAGCACATGAGAGAACTTGGCACAAAGTGATCAATGAACGCTTGTTTAAAAAAAAAAATTTAAGGGACTATCCTGAGTCCTTGGGAATGAACTTAAACTTTGCATTCTGACACAAACATTGCCAAAAAGATTTTTTATAAAAATGCATGTTTATTTATCTACCACTTTACTAGGAATCTAGTTTGACCCTGTTAAGACCCGCAAAGCTGATTTAGAACCCCAGCTATTTGCTCTTTTACTATTCTCTGAATCTCTTCAGTTTCTTCTCTCAGCCAGAATCTGAATAAATAGGGATTCCTTATTTATTCTGAAACTCATCCCCAACTTTATTTTCTGCTAGAGGAAATCTGTCCTTCACAGTGTCATAAACCAGCTACACTGAGCTGTTCTTGTTTTCTTAGAGGATGAAAATGGGAACTTATTCCTTCCCACTTTTCCTTCCCTCTGAGAGTGGCTGAAACCCTTCCCATTTTGTTTTTAAAGTAAAAGGCAGTGATATAAACTGTATGCGAACACTGCAACTGCATATAAGTAACAGCAGTCTCGAAAGCATCTGGCCTCGTTTCAGCATCTGGCCTCCTTTCAGCATCTGCATAAGGTTGCGTCTAGCCTCCCTGGCTGCGTGGTTGGTCAGCAATTTCTAGCACTTACAGACACTGCCAAGCTGTTTCATATACCTTATCTCGCGTGATTGTCAAAACCACCTAGAAAGGTAGGGCAGGGAAACTGAATGAGACACAGAGAAGGCAGTTTACAGAGCTAGTAACTCTCAGAGGTTGGACTTGAGCCGTGGTCGTCAAAGCTTCCGTTCTTTCCCTTCTATCCATCTCCCCACAGCTGGGCCCTGGTGCTGATGCTGAGCACCCGAAGCGCGCACACCTGCGACAGAGCAGGACGAGCCAGCCAATCAGGAACCCGCATCCAGGAGGCGGGACAGGGAAGCTGCCAATGACAGAGCCTACCCCGAGAGAGATGCAGCTAATGAAGTTCTCGTGCTGGAGAGGGACGGCTGTTCGTCCAATGAGAGCCTGTGACCAGCGAAGCTGGAAGGCGGAAGGGCCGGGGGAGCCGGGGCGGGGCTGTAAAGCCCGGCGCCAACGCGCCGGCACCCGCGTCCCGGCATGGTTTCCCCGTCGCCGCCCGCCATGGCCCGCGCTGCTCGGCTCTTCGCCGCGCTGGCCGCGCTCCTCGCCGCCGCCTCTACAGGCGGAGATGCCCGGCCCAGCAAAATCGGTGCGGGGAGGTCGAGGTGGCGTGCTAAGCTGGGGAGGGCTGCGCGGGAAAAGGGTTCTCAGTCCAGAGCAGCTGGGTGGGGGATGGGGAGGGCGGCTGGGCGAGGGAGAGGTCCTCCGGAAAGAAGCTGGGTGGAGAAGAGACGAGGGACTGCGACTGGGTGAGGAAGGGGACCGCAGCAGGCAAGGTGCTGATGAGGAGGGTGGCATGGGCTTGTGTCGAGGGCTACCTGGGACGGAAAAGAGGCTTGAGGCAGGACTGGCCACTGATGTCACTGGAAGGTCCAGAGGCTTTGAGCATCTGCCGTGGACCTGGCTCTTTGCCAGGTGCCCCGATGACGGAGAGGCCAGGGTCTGGGCGATGTCATTCACAAAGGTTTATTGAGGGCCGTCTGTAGCAGGCACAGTCTCCGTAGTTCCTGTCTGGAGGAGAGACTGCACAATACAGGGAAGTTAGTGCCAAGGCTGAGAAAGTACCCTGATCTAGAGGAAGGGCACTTCACCGCAGTCTTCCTTCGCTCTGGAGGGCTTCCTAGAAGTAACATCCAGGCCACACCTCAGGGACGGTAGGAGACAGTCCTAGCAGAGACAGAACCCATGGTAAGTCTGCTGGGGATAGATTTGCTGAATGACCAAGTGGGGAACTTTTAACAGCAGCCGTTTTATTTTTTTGTTTTTTATTCCAATACTTTATTTTGAAAATTTTCAAACGTACACAAAAGTTGAAAGAACTAGATAATACAGCAATCCTCTGTATACCCACCACCTAGATTCTGCCATTAACAAACTGCTACTCTACTCGCTTTATCACATACCTGTCACACATCCATTAATCCATCGGACATTTTGATGCATTTCAAAATAAATTGCAGACATCAGGACTCTTTGCTAAATACGTCATCGTGCATATCATTGACTAGCGGTTCCATATTTGTTTGCAGTTTTTTCCTCTTAATGGTTATCATTTTAACTCTACGTGACTCAAAGATTTTCAAACCCCTCACATATAAATTCCCATAGGCAGAGATGCTGGGCATCTGGGTGGGGAAGTAGGAAACCCTAGGCTACTAATCTGCGATCTGTGCACCCCAGATGGCAGGGAGGGATGTCCCGTGGGAGCACCACAGACTTCCTGCAGCCAGTGCAGTGCTAAAGCTTCTTGGGTTACAGAACCACAGCTCAAACCGTGAAGGGTTAAGACAGACTAAAGCATGCCAGAAGTCAGTTTGGGACTGAGAGTTCAGGGTTTTCAGAGGAAAGAGAATCCTGAGGGCTAGTGGTCCGAGAAGACCTTATGGAGAAGGTGGATTTTGAGCCAGGCTGTGAAGGATGGGGAAGAGTTAGGCAGGCAGTGTCCAGAGGTACAGGGCACTCCCCTGTCTCTTGGGAATGGGCAGCAGAGCAGGACACTGCACACTGACCGCTGGGAAAGGGGCAGCCCCTCCTCCCAGCACTACCGTTTCTGGCAATGCAGAAATTCCATTTCTCCTCATTCCAGCTGACCCTGCCCACATCGCCTCAGGGGTCATCCGGGGCAGAACACTTGGCAATGCCAAGCTGCCTGTAGCTTTCCTGATCGTCCCTAGTCCTCTGATAGGAGCCTCTGTCTGCTGTTGGAGGTTTGGACTCTACCCACAACAAGAATGAGGAGCTTCCTGTTAGGAAGGCTTAACCCTCAGACTGCGGCAGGATCAGATCTGAACACCTCGGGGTGGCGTTGGACCCTTTGAACTCCCCCATAGTTCCGCACACTGCCCTGCTCTTGCTGTTCTCTCTGTGGAGAACGTGTCTCTGTTCTTTGGCAGAGCCAATTGTCCTCCAGGGTCCTGATCAAACATTACTTCCCCTGGGAAGCCTGTGCCTCCACATCCTCGGGCAGAATTCATTGCTTCCTCAGGATTCCCTGGAACGCTGTTGTGACACTTGGTCACACTTTGTCATAGCCAATCGTGCATGAGTCTGTCTGCCCACTCCCTGCCTGGGCTCAGGAGAGCAGGAGCCCTGTGTGATTCATCTTGTGCCCGAGCTCATCTTGCCATAGACCAGAGTGGGTGTCAGTTCACAGGTGTTGGATGAGCTGGTTCTCAATGAGGCGAGGTCGTCTGCTTTCCCATAGCCCTTGGGCAGCTTCCAGGCTTTGGGATATCAGTTTCTCTGGAAAAATGGGTAATTGAGGGCTCTGTCACAAATGGAGGGGAGGGGAGCACACTGGGTTTAAAAAGTTAAGGGCATTCTTGGAAATAGCTTTGTAAACACTGAGAAGGAGGAAGCGGTCTGTTCTTTGAAGATGTGACAAATACTTAACTCTACTGCCTGCTAGGATCTGGGGGCATAGTGACCTGCTCTCAGTCCTTAAACAGACCCTTTGAGTGTAGTGTGCCTAGGCCAGGGGTAGGGAGAGTGTGCTGCTGGAAGATGCAGGAGGGATGCCTGACTTGTCTTAGGGGAGTCAGGCAAGCCAGCTAAAAATGACATGTGAGGGCCATAGAAGTCAGCGAGGCAAAGGGTGAAGGAGCATTCCTGACAAAGGGACCAGGACAGGCATGAGAGAGCAAAGGCACCTGGCCCCCAGCAGATGTCAAGACAGACAAGAAGGTGGAGTATTGCGAGGATGGGCCAGGGAGTGGAATAAGTAAATGGAGGTCAGATCGTCATGAACCTTGTAATTTTGCCTTCTTGGCGGGAGCTGGTGGTCTTAGGATCCAACATGGGTCCAATAAGGACAAATCAGACCAGATTTATCTCACTTTCTTTTTGGATAGGGTTACTAGACTGTCAGATGAGAGGAAAGCTATGTTTCAGATACATGGTGGGTAAACGTTGTGAGTAGTGTGGCGGTCCGGTTCAGTAGCTTCATAGTTGCTTTACTGCCCTCTCACAGTGCTATTTCATGATTAGTATCTCTCTCGACCATGGTTCCTAGCAGCACCTCAGAGCCCTGCCCATTGAAACATTTTTATCAGTGGCTTGGATGACGATACTGATGGCATATGAAACAAGTTTGCAAATAACAGGAATGCAGGAGGGGTAGAAAGGACAGTGAATGAAAAGACCCCAACAAGCTGAAATTTCGTCACAAGAGTCCAAAGTGGAATAGAGTTCCCCGTACGGTAATGATCAACTTGTCACAGGGTACATTCCAGTCTTGGCAAACACAGATGTAGAAATTATTTAAGTGTCAGGTGGTAGGCTGGACTAGACTGAGGGTCAGCTGACTTCTTCAGTAAAGGGCCAAAGAGTAAATATTTTAGGTTTTGCAGGCCATACAGTGTCTGTTGCAGCTGCTCAGCTCTGCCTAGCACGAAAGCAGCCATAGACAATAAGATAAGGAAAGAGTGTGGCTGCATCCTGGTAAAACTTTGTTTGCAAAAACAGACATCTGCCTAGATGTGGCCCGTGGGCTGTGGTTTGCTGACCCCTGGATTAAGGAGGGGTTTCCAAACACTCGTCTAACCTAACAGTACCTGTCAGTGACCAGGTTTTCACCAATTCATAGTGAAATAAAAATGGGGACAATGTAATGAGTTTGTATAAAACAAAATTTATTCTCTTTAAATGATCGTCCTGGACTTTGAGGTTCTTCCCTGTGCTTTTGCTGCTAATGTGCCTTTTTCCTTATGAAATGAGGGTGACAGTAGGTGGCAGTTTTCAGGTTGTCCTTTGCTCTTCATTAACAGCTTCACTAAAAACCAGTCTGCACATTTGCTTTTGGGGAGGTCATGAGCCCATGAAAGGCAAGTGCCTGGGAACCGCTGCCCAGGAGGCTGAGGAGGTATGACCGGCCGCCTCACGCGCATGCTCTGTCTCTCCCCTGCCTGCCTCCTGGACCTGCTGACAGCCGTGGTTGGGGCCGGAATCGGGGGCTCGGCCGTGGCCCACTTCCTCCAGCAGCACTTCGGCCCCCGCGTGCAGATCGACGTGTACGAGAAGGGGACTGTGGGCGGCCGTCTAGCCACCATCTCAGTCAACAAGCAGCACTACGAGAGTGGGGCCGCCTGCTTCCACTCTCTGAGCCTGCACATGCAGGACTTCGTCAAGCAGCTGGGTGAGTGCACCATCGGGGGCTCCGGCATCCAGCGCCCGGGGTGGTGGCAGCCATCAGGCCCTTCCCAGATTGCCCCTCCGGTCGAGGCCGGAAGGTCACGTAGCTCAGTCTCCTCATTTTACAGATGAAACAGCTGAGAACAGAGAGGGAAAGGAACTTGCCTGAGGTTACACAGTGAGTTAGTTGGAGAGCCAGGATTAGAACTCAGGTTTGACTCCTAGGCCAGTTTCTTTCCCTTTCAATTTGCTGCCTCTTACTAATCAGAATCATAATGGCTTCCACATGCTGCGTAATTCCCAGGTAGCTGGCATCCTTCTAGGTTATATGTAGGCCTTATCTCTAATCCTGCCTACCAGCCTGCAAGATGGGTATTGTATCTCCTCCTGAAGAAACTGAGGCTCAGAAAGTGTAGACATCTTGGCTAAGGCCGTGCAGCTAATGAGTGAGAGGCTGGGATTCAGTCCCGACAGCTTCTGTCAAAGCCGCAAATACATACCCTGTTCGACTCAGAAATTCCGCTTCTCAGAAGTGATCCTACAGGTGTACTTAGAGGTGTGCAAAGTGGCATACACACAGGGTCATTCATTACAGCATTGTTGGTAAGAGCAAAAGGTCGGAAACATCCTGCCTGCCCGCCCACTGGGATCTGAGATTATATGAATTATCGTTTAAGTACACAGCACACTGTTGAGCAGCCAGGAGGAGGAAGTCCTTGATGCCCTGGGATAGAACAATCTCCAAGTCACAGTCTGCCCGTGAGATGCAGAGCAGTCTATAGTGTGGGTGGGGGAAGCAGTAACCCATACCCATTTGTGAGTGTTTGCACAAAATGTCTCTGGAAGGATTCTGAAGGGATATACTCACTGGTGGCCTCTGGGAAGGGAAACTTAGTGGCTCAGGGACTGGAATAGGAGGGAAAGAAACAAAAACCTGTCATTTGGGGCAGGTTCTATAACCTCCGAGTCTCAGTTTCCACATCATTCCCTGGGGGTTCTGCCTCTTCCTGGGCTGTAAGAGGATGCAGCGAGAGGCACAGGTCCCAAAGCTCTGTCAGTGGTAGTGTGTGGCCGGTTGCAGGGAGCTGTGACTCTTTCCACAGACATTGCGGGCTGAAATCTGAATTCCCCTCATTTGTGACTGAGTAGATCCCTGTTTTTTAAAAAAAGGGAAATGGTACATTATTTTAATTTTCATTTCTTTGTTGACTAACCAGGCCAAACTTTTCCCAAGTGCCTTTGTTTACTGTTTTAAACAAGCAGCACAGATGATCAAACCATAGTGTCTGTATTCCCTTTAATGGAGCCAGTCCTTCAGGAAGGCCCCGAGTGTAAGCTTCGGGCACCATCAGCTCCTGGGGGTGCTCTGAAGGGGACCTGAGGGGCTCCTTGTCTCCTCAGGGCTGAGGCACCGGCGAGAGGTGGTGGGCAGGAGCGCCATCTTCAGCGGGGAGCATTTTGTGCTGGAGGAGACGGACTGGTACCTGCTGAACCTCTTCCGCCTCTGGTGGCACTACGGCATCAGCTTCCTGCGGCTGCAGATGTGGGTGGAGGAGGTCATGGAGAAGTTCATGAGGTAGGGCTGGGCCGAGCTGTGGGGAGGGCATTCCCGAGGGAACGAGGAACAGAGCTGGGGAAGGAACCAGCCTGACAATACATTTTCAAAAAGGAAAAGGTACTTGTTGACGAGAGAACCCAGCACAGCTCAGTCGAGGTTCTGAACAAGTGTGAGGAATGTACTTATGTGGTGCAGGGGTGGTCTCTGGTCTCTAGTATTGTCACACTAGCTTTTTCTTTCCCTCTGCTAAACAGATAAATAAAAGCACTAGTCACAAACTCGGCCACCCACAAGGGCCAACCTGGGATATGAGTAAGTGAAGCAGGGGGCAGAAGAGAAGGGTATGGAGTGGGGTACCCTGAAGAGCAGGGCCCCATCTGAAGGGGGCAGCCAGCTCTGCTAGAGCCAACTGTGGCCATGTGGGAACGCCCACCTCCTGTGGCTAGATCTTCCAGGTTTTCAGAAGAATCTGGAAATCCAGAGTTATATGCAAAATGTCCTAGTTTTTCAATGTATGCAACCAATTCATTTTATAAGCCAAACGAAACACATCTGTAGGCCACATGCAGCATGTGGACCACCCGTTTACAAACTCTGCTATCCCCTAGTTTTCCCATCTAGAATAAGCACATGTCTTCCCCGCTTCTCTCCTCCTTGGGTCCCAGCCCCCTTCCCATCACTCCTGGATAACAAGGACGTGTGGTCTGTTGCCACGCTCTCCACTTCTCGCAATCCACTCACTCTCCAAGCTGGCACCCAAGCTGGCCCCCGAAGTCCCTCCTGCAGGTTCTCCCTGCTCCCTGGCCCAGACGCAGAGGCTTCAGTGTCTGACACTCAAGGGTGGCCTCCAGGCCTCCTTCACTGCTCTTCTCTTCCCACTTCTATAACCATGCTTTTTATGGTGCTGCTTCTTTATCTTCTCCAGGCGTCCCCCACAGGTTATGTCCTTACCCCTTTCTTCTTTCTTACATTTTTCTCCCTCGTCAATTTGATCCAGACCTACACTGCTGAGTTCTCCCTTTTGTGGGAGACAGCTTCCACCTGTCAACCCCACTTTCCCCTTAAGTTCCAGACCTACATTTCTCACTGCTTTCTGCACACCTCCGTCTAGGTGTCCCATTGATAACCAAACTCAAGATGTCTACACAGCAGCCCAAGCAGAGGCAACATTTCAAAGGCCAGCTCATCCAGAAATCCATCAGCAGGTGATTCCAGGCAAATGCTCATCCCTGAGCGTAGAGGAGTCTTGGAGGGAAGGACGTGATGTGAACTCAAGGAGAGGATGGGAGCCCTTTCGGATAGGGCCAGCGGAGAGGACAGGCAGGGCTCGCAGCGAGGGTGACAACTTTGGCATGAGGCAGCTGCCCTCGGGTCCAGTGTGGTCCTAGAAGCCAGGGCAGAGCCGAAGCTGCTGGAGAAAGGGAAGTGTCTGCAGGGGTGGGCTGTGGCCCACTGCCTGGCAGTCCCAGCTGAGTGAGAAGAGGGCTGTGACCTCAGGCAGGGAGTGGCTCAGAGAAACGACGCACTTGTCATTCAGCAGAGCAGTGATGTGAAGACAGGTCTAGAGGGATTCCGGGGTATTTGCCCTTCCCTCTGTGCCGCCCCTCCGGGTGGGACAGGCCCCCCACGGCCAGCAAACAGGCCAAGGGGAGCATAACCAGCCTCCTCTCCCAGCCCTCTGCATGGAGAGGAGGGTGGGTCCCTGCTGGGCCTCCCAGGTGCAGGGACCCGGTAGCAGGGGGTCAGCCAAAAGACCTTTCTGCACAAGGGCTCGAGCTCCGCGTGTCTCCCAGGATCTATAAGTTCCAGGCCCATGGTTATGCCTTCTCGGGCGTGGAGGAGCTGCTCTACTCGCTGGGGGAGTCGGCCTTCATCAACATGACCCAGCGCTCCGTGACCGAGTCCCTGCTCCAGGTGGGCGTCACGCAGCGCTTTATCGACGACGTTGTCTCCGCCGTTCTGCGGGCCAGCTACGGCCAGTCGGCAGCAATGCCCGCCTTTGCTGGTGAGCCTCCGGCCTCAGCCTGCCTGCCTGCCCGCCTGCCCTTCCCCAGCCCACAGTGCCCAGAATGGGCTGGGCTCTTGTAATCACCTCACATTTACCCGGCTCGTGACGGTTGCCTTAGCACTTTGTTGCCCCAACCCCATTTGATTCTGGCATCAATCCTCCAAGCTGGTGGGAGGTGGTATTCACCCCACTTCACAGACAGTGAAAGTAAGGCTCAGATCTTAGGTCCAGCTTGTTTCTACCACTCCCGATTGGATTGGTTTCAAGAACTGCCCTGTTGAGGCCTCTGGGCCCCTGGGTATTCATCTTTTAAAGCCCCTAACCCTCCCAGCTCATTACTGGGGCCAGTGGGCACATGCACAACCCACCACCCCCCAGCCACAAGAGGGCCACCCCCCAGGCCACAAGAGGGCCACCCCCCTGCCACAAGAGGGCCACCCCCCAACCACAAGAGGGCCACCCCCCAACCACAAGAGGGCCACCCCCCAGTCCACAAGAGGGCCACCCCCCAGCCACAGGAGGGTCACCTCACAGGCCACAAAAGGGCCACCCCACAGACCACAAGAGAGGTCACCACTTAATCTGCCTGGAAGAGTCCTCAGGGCGTGTCTTCCCCGAGGCGTGGAGACTGTTCTGGGCCTGAAAGATGCAGTAGGATTTTGCCAGGTGGGGAGGGGCGTTCAAGGCCAAGAGCTGCGCTGGCCCTCACTGGCCCCCCTCCCAGCCTGCTCGGTGGGCTCCTTGTCTTCTCCCAGTCTCATGACACCGAAGGTCCAGGCTCAGTCCTTTGTCCTCTCCTCTCAGCTGCTCATGCTCCGGTGATGAGCTCAGCCCGTCTCAAGCCTTTACATTCCACCCACCTGACTCCCAAACATGACCTCCAGCCCGGAGCTCTCTCCAGAACTGCAGGCTCACGTGTCAGCTGCCACCCCATGTCTCCACCGGGAGGGCCAATGGGCATCTCAAATTCAGCATGTCCACCCCTGAGCTCCTGACCTTCCCCCTTGAGCCTGCACCTCCCAGAGTCTTCCAGCTCGGGTGGTACTCATTCCTGTCAGTCGCTCCGGCCAGAACCTTGACTCGTTTCGTTCTCTCATAGCTTTCGCGTCATAGTATGTCAAGAAATCCCATCTGCTCTCTCTTCCATGTATATCCAGAATCTGACTGCTTCCCACCACTGCTTCCTCCCTGGTCCAAGCCACCAGCATCCCTCACCTGGATTACTGCAAATCTCCTGCCAGGTGCCCCTGCCCCCTGCCCCCCACAGGCTATTCTCAACAGAGGAGCTGGACGCCCCTTTTACAACAAAAGATCGTGTGAGGCCTGTGTGTAAAATTCCATAAGGGCTCCCACTTTCCTTCGGATAAAACCCAAAGTCCTCCCAGTGGCCTATAAGGCCCCACATGGTCTGGGCCCACCGCCTCCCCACTCACTCACCCCGGTCCAGACACTGGCCTCCTTGCTGAGTCTCCAGCGTCCAGGTGCCCTCCCACCTCAGGGCCTCTGTGTGGCCATCTCTCTGCCTGGAACATTCTTCCCTGAGACACGGGCACCCTAAACTCACGCTCCCCATCGCGTCTCTGTGCTGGTGTTACCTTTCCATTGAAGCTACCCCACACCCAGACGTAAATCACATCCTAGCCCTCCGCCTGCCCCCAGCAGTCGCAGTCCCCCCACCCTTCAGGTATCATCTTCCAGCAGACTATTTAATTTACTTATTTATCTCCTCCCGCTAGAATGTAGGCTTCCCAAGGGCAAGAACCTCTCTCTCCTTTGTTTACTGATGGATCCCAAACACTTAGAGCTCCTCCCACGTGCCCAGGATGCTGTTCCTCTGCCTCTTGGCACAGCTACCTCCTCCCCAGCCTTCAGGTCCTGCCTAGTGTCTCCACAAGGGGGCTTCCCTGCTCACTCTTCCAGTATAAGGTGTGTATCCTTCAAGAGATAAGTCACACACCACACAGTTCCACCCATTTAAAGCGTACAGTTCAGGGGCTGGCCCCGTGGCCGAGTGGTTAAGTTTGTGTGCTCCGCTTCGGTGGCCCGGGATTTGCCAGTTCAGACCCTGAGCAAGGACCTACAGACTACTGATCAAGCCATGCCTGCCACATAGAAGAACTAGAATGACATACAACTAGGATATACAACTATGTACTGAGGCTTTGGGGAGAAAAAAAAGAGGAAGATTGGCAACAGACATTAGCTCAGGGCCAATCTTCTTCACCAAAAAGCATACCTTAAAAAATAAAAAAGTGTACAATTCAGTGGTTTGGGGTATATTCGCAGAGTTGTGCATCCATCAGCACAATTTTAGAACATTTTTATTGCCCCCAAAGGAACCCCATACCTTTAATCCTCACTTCGCCCACACCTCCCAGCCCTCTAGCCCTAGGCAGCCATGAATCTGCTCTGTGTTTCTACGGACTTGCCCGTTCTGGACAGTCTGCATAAATGAAGCTTAAAATCTGTGTTCCTTTGTAGCTGGCTCTTGCACTGAGCATAACGTTTTCACTTCGTGGCATTGTGAATTCTGTTGTATTTATTTGCGTGTGTGTGTGTGTGGTCTCTTCATGCCCATGGTTGGGAGGAGTCTTGGCCTGGGAGGGAGGCAGGCCCGGCCAGGATGGTGCTGGACTCTGAAGCCCCACTGCCCAGTGGTTCTGAGAACCCACTGGCCGCCCTACCCCTTTGCCCAGGAGCCATGGCACTAGCCGGGGCGCAAGGCAGCCTGTGGTCTGTGGAGGGAGGCAACAAGCTGGTTTGTTCCGGTCTGCTGAAGCTCACCAAAGCCAACGTGATCCACGCCACGGTGACCTCTGTGACCCTGCACACTGTAGGTGAGTGGACAGAGCAAGGGATGTGGCCACTCCATTCCTAGAGAGTGAACACTTCCACTTCTTCTGTCCCTAAATCCCAGTCTGTGATCTGCTGGGGAGTGGTTCCAAAAAACCAGCGGGAAGCCCCAGCACTGCCGAGTGACGCCAGAGGGCACTGTTGTCCCATCCCAATGTCAGAGCCAGAAAGCTGAGGCTTGCATTAATCTAGCCCTGTTCTTTTGGCCACTGAGGACTTCGAGCCACTGTCAGTGGCAGAGCTGGAGAAAGAGCTCGAGTCTCCTGGACTCCCAGTCCAGTGCTCACTGTGCAGCCACACCAGCATGGAAAGACCAGGACCCAGCATCTGGACGCCTAGCTGCACCCAGGGTCTCGTACCCTCAATGCTGGGCCCCAGATGGGAGGAGATCAGAGAGTAGGAGCCAAGAAATAAGTTGACTTTTGTGCTTTCTTCTCTCTCCTTCCAGAAGGGAGAGCCTTATACCAGGTAGAGTATGAGAATGAGGTGGGCAACGGCTCCGACTTCTACGACATAGTGGTCATCGCCACCCCCCTGCACCTGGACAACAGCAGCAGCAGCACCATCACCTTTGAAGGCTTCGACCCGCCCATTGATGCTGTCCAGGGCCCTTTCCAGCCCACCGTCGTCTCCTTGGTCCACGGCTACCTCAACTCTTCCTACTTCGGTTTCCCCGACCCTAAGCTTTTCCCTTTTGCCAGCATCCTTACCACGGATTTCCCCAACTTCTTCTGTGCTCTGGACAACATCTGTCCCGTCAACATCTCGGCCAACTTCCGGCGGAAGCAGCCCCAGGAGGCAGCTGTTTGGCGAGTCCAGTCCCCCAAGCCCCTCCTTCGGTCCCAGCTGAAGACCCTCTTCCGCTCCTATTACTCAGTTCAGACAGCCGAGTGGCAGGCCCACCCCCTCTACGGCTCCCGCACCACCCTCCCGCGGTTCGCTCTCCACGACCAGCTCTTCCACCTCACTGCCCTGGAGTGGGCAGCCAGCTCCGTGGAGGTGATGGCTGTCGCTGCCAAGAACGTGGCCCTGCTGGCCTACAACCGCTGGTACCAGGACCTAGACAAGATTGACCAAAAGGATTTGATGCACAAGGTGAAGACAGAACTGTGAGGGCTCCGGGCGAGCCTGGGAATGTCCATCGCCAGCTGAAGGTGGATCACCCACAGTGGCCAAGACCGTACAGGTCGCGCTCACCCACCCAGCCTCTTTCTGACCCCTCGTGTGTCGAGTGTCCTCCCTCCAGCGTGGGTCCAGGTGTCCCGCTCTCTGCCTCTATCTTAGAATTCTCACAGTGGTTGCTTCTTTCTAAGGGGGAGAGTAAGAGAAGGGAAGAAAAGTCAAGCCAGTGTATTCATTTTATTTATTTTTTTTAAGAAAAAATAAAAATCCATGTTCTCAAGCTGCTTCTGACTTGGTTTTCTAACTAGGAGACAAGGATAACCTTGGGAGGGAATATATGGCAGAGAACTCTGGATCCAATTTCTGTATTGTTTTTCACTGCCTACTCAAAATGTACCTGAGGCAGCACCTACAATGAAACATGTAACCAGGTGTTTACAGATAAAGTAGGGAAGATCAGAAAACCTAAGACATGAGAATAGCTCCTATTTACTGTCAGCTTGATAGATGTGTATCTAGTTATGACCTTACTAGATACCATCCAAACCTCTCAACAACACTGCATGTTGGGGAAGATGACTGTGGTAGGACCCAAGGAAGAGATTGTTACCCCAGCAGTGCTGTCAGTATAGCTCCGAGCTTCCTGGCAAACAGTGGGAAAAGGGCAACATACCAGGCCATAGAAAGAGAAAAGTTTTTCCTTGGCACCTGGAGAAATTAACCATTCTGTTCATTAGGCAAGGGTTGAGGAGTAATACGATGGATCTGTCTTGTAAGAAGGCAAGTTCCCAGATGGCAGAGGGCAGTCATACCTCACCCCCAAACTTTCACCCCAGGAGAGTATAGGAAGGAAAGAAGGTGTTGGGATAGTTTTTCAGAGGTTAATCTGATGCAGGTGCTCAGGTTCCTCCCGGACCTGCTAAATTTGGCTCTGGGGTGGGGGTGGGGGGTGGTGAGCCCAGATGCCAGGAAGACACAAGGCTGCCAAATGACAGTGACAATGTGTCTTTCCTAACAGGAGTAGCCCAAGAGGTCATCCAGCTAACTTCCCTCTCTTTGTAGAGAGGGAGATAAAAGCCCAAAGCGAGGACATAACTTGCTCAAGGTCGCTTGGTAAGTTCATAGAACAGAGCTGAAATCGGGAGCTTCTTCAAATTAATTGAATTCACCATGGGGCAAAATACTCTTCAAGTAGGCAGAGGCCCAGACTGGCTCCAAAGTTGTTTTTACTATGCTGGGGGTGCGGGGGGTGTGAAAGAGATGGTGCCTGTAAAGTGTAAGTCGCACGCACTTGTTGGTTATTATAGGAATTATGAAACTGACATGTCAGTAAAAAATGCTTGTATTTGAAGTAGTAGAAAACCAAACTGAAACTGGCTTAAGCAATGAAAGGGTTTTATTGCTTCTCATAAAAGTCTGGCTACAGGGCAGATACCCAGCACTGCAATGCCAGGCCATTGCTTCTCTCACGGTCAACGATAGCTACCAACAGCTCCCGGGCAAGAGGGTCTTCTCCCACGACCCCTGAACCAAATTCTGGGCTCTGGACCAGTTGGGCCCCTGCTGAACCAATTCCTATGGCCAAGTGAATGCCACATGCTGATTGGCTTAGGACTTAGCTCCTGGGCCAGTAACCAGGATACAGGGATCGAGATTAAGCTGACTGGCTTAGAACAGTCAAGTCCCGCCCCTGGAGCAGAGGTGGTCTCATCCAAACTACAAGAGGGGTGGAAAGAGTGTTGGAGAGAGGCATGATGTCAACCACATGCAGGCTGGGGCTGTGCCCTCCCCCTCCTCTCAAGTCCAGTCAAATCAGTGTGTGACGGCATATTTCCACGGTCTGTGTTTGCAATGAAGATGCCATGGGCTGTTATGGTGTAACTGATGATCATTGTTATTGGGCCAGAGGACCAAGGCCAAGACCAAACTTATCCCTGATAACCAGCCCTCCCTTGCATCCCTAAGGATGTGTGCCCAGAAGAGGCAGACCAGGGCAGTTACCCTCGATGCCCAGTCCTCGGCTGGGCTTTGGCTCCATGCCCCAGCTTGACTGCAGTATGCTGGCTGGTTCTTCAGAAACTTCCTTCATCTGGGTAGGCAGGCCTGAACAGCTCAGAATCAAAGCGGGCCAAAATGTCCACGCTGCCTGCCTCCTCAAGCCCAGACCTGAGGCTGGATCTCCCCACTTCCCTGCCTGCAAGGAAAAGCCAGCGATTCCCGAAGGTGGCAGAAGGGAGCCCGGGAACCAGCAGGAAGCCTTTGCCCAGGGCCCACCGGAGGCTTCTCAGGCCAGGACAGAAGCCCCCAGGGCCCACAGCCCTCTGGGAGAAGAGGGAGCATTTACAAATAAAACAGCAAAGAGGCCACACTTATCCTCAGTAGTCCTGGATGCAGTGTAGTAGACGTTTAGGCTCCTCGCAGGGATTCACCGCTAAAGCAGGGGACCCAAGCAAAAGCTCAGCCCTTTGGGGGGCAAAGGGGCACTGTGGAGGGTAGAGTTGGGGGTGGGGGAGGAATGGTGGAGGAAGGAGGAATGCTTTGTTCCTGAACCGCCTTTGAAGGAGCAACAGAAGGAGCTGGGGGGATCTTGGGCTCCCCCTAGAGGCCTCTGTACATGAATGCACGCATGCATTCATTCCTTCACCAAGCCCTGCACCCCTCCCTACTCTGCACTGGGCACTCTGCTAGGCACTGGAGATGCAGCGCTGAAGGAGGCAGATGCGGCCCCCGTTCGCATCCAATGGGGGTTTCTCACCATACAGTGAAAAATGTGAAACACATTTAGACTCAGACCAAAGGAGGTGCCAGGGTGCAGTGCAGACGCAGCGTAGACCCAGCTCTCAAACAATCCTAAGCTCCCTGCTGCTGCCTTGAAACCAGGGGACCAGGAAAGGCCAGCTGCCAGGCCAGGCTCAGGAGGCCAAGCTTCGAAGTCGCAGAACAGTAAAACTGGAAAAGACCCTGGAGACCCCTAAGGCCCCTCTGCTCATTTCACAGATGAGAAAACTGAAGCCCAGAAAGAGGAAAAGGCATCATCCGTATGAAACTAACCAGCTTTGCTGAGGATCTCGTGTGTCTGATGCTCTGGTAGGAGCCCGTCCCACCCAGATGAGGAGTTTCCCCGCCCAGTCCCTACGCCCCAGGCACCCGGGGTCTCCCAGGACTAGACCAGCCCTCCTGCAGCTCAGGTCTTCCCAGGCCCTCACCCGACAAAAAGGCCTTGGAGGCAGTGGGTCCCTCATGTGTGGCTGAAGTCTTTTGACCAGGAAAGTAGACTGTGGGGCCTCAGAGACAAGCAGCTCCCCAGGGAGGAGAAGTGGCTGCTGAAGGCATCGGCTTGGACTGGCACATGAAGTCTATTTTCCATGTGTCTGGAACCAGGCCGAAGCTTCCTGGGGTAATTTTAATCAGTATCCGCTCTAGAACAATACCAAAAAAGGTAAGTTACTTACTACCCCAGACAGGCACATACCTAACCATTGCCCTTTCATGAATTAGACCCTTAAAACACTCAGAGCAGAAGCTGCTTTAAGCACTGAAGTCACAGCAGCCAAGGAAAGGATTCCTATACTGACTGTTGGCCCCCTCATTGAAATTAACTCTAAAGTGCCAGCTATTCTTACCCTCGGAAAATGGCCTGAGCCCCTCAGCTGTCCTCGGGGAGGCAAGGTATTTTTAGACCCCAGAACAGCTGATTTAGGATTTGCCACAGGAGCTAGGAGGGCAGAGAGAGGATTGAATTGCAAGGGGCTAATGGGGGGTGGGGGGGGGGCGGGGGAGGGATTAGTATCCAGGGGGCAGGAACCCACAGGGGCTTTAGGACAAGTCAGTCCACACTGCCTTTTTCATCGGCAAAGTGTCTTCATAAAAGCCAGTGGCTCTCAAAGTGTGGTCCTCAGACCAGCAGCATCAGCATCGCCTGGGATCCGCTGCATTAGAAATGCACAGAAACCATTGTAGAGAAAGGCAGTCTCGGCCCTACCTTGAACCTACTGCATCAGGGCCTCTGCAGGCGGGACCCAGCAGTCTGTGTTTTAATAAACCCTCCAGGGGATTCTGAGGCTAGCTCGAGTTTGAGAACCATGAGATACCAGCAAACCCTCTGTGGATAAGGCTGGATGAAAGAATGATCTAAGCTGATGTTCTCAACTCGTCAGTGCTTGTTCAAAGCCAGGGATCCCCAGCCCAGAAACAGACCTATCCATACGAAAATTTCAAGGGCTCGCTGGCCCAGGTTAAAACCCCACCCTGCTTTTTGGCCACCTGGGGAGAATCTCAGAGAATGAGGCCTTAGAGATCATCTTCTCCACCCAGAGCAGGAATCTGCTCCACAATGTCCTCAGAGGCTCAGCCCTAGCGGAACCCTTCCCGAGACGGGGAGCTCTCTGCTGCCAAAGGGCTCGTTTGCAAAGGTCCTTAACTAACTCTGGAGACGTAGCTCTTGCTCATGCCTGTATAGGTTTAAACCAACCAAGCTCCAATACCTTGGCTGAGATAGAGGCTTATAAACCCAAATTAAAGGAAGTATACAACTGTCCTAAACAGTAGAGACGAATGCAGTACTTTTTAAATAGCCTATCCTCTCAGCGTTGGAGAACTCTGAGAGATGGAAAATCCTCCTTTCTGTTGATCTGAACTCTACCTCCCAGGAACCTCCTCTCCCCACTTGGTGTTGGCTTCAGAGCCACAAGGAGCAAACCCAAGGTCTTGCTTTAGAAAAGACAGCGTTTACTTTTCATTGGCTCTGCTTGGCATGGGGGCGCAGGGAGGGCTGTCTCCACTGCCCACCAGCTCAGGGCCTTGGCGGTTCAGAAGATGCAAGTGCAGCCCACGGCAATGGTCTCCATGACGGCGCGCTGGCGGCAGGGCCCGGTGCGCGGCGGCAGCGGGCAGAGGCGGCGGCGCACAGGCACCTGGCTGAACACGGGCACGCTCACCATGCTGCGGTCCTCCTGCATGGTGAAGGGGTTCACGCAGCCCAGACACAGGCACCGCGCCTCCGGCAGGTCCGCAGGGACACGGGTGGGGTCATGGTTGATGCTGCAGGCAGGCAGGAGAGAGCACAGGGCAGAAGGTGGTCCGGGGAAGAGCAAATCGGCACCCACCCCCCACGCCCCTGCCTTTCCTGACGGGGGTTTTCATTCCCACAGCAAGACTGCTATGCTGGAGGAACGGCAGCAACCAACTCTGTGTTCCAGGTGGGAAAATAGAAGATTCTGGAAGGCAAGTCACCACCCAAGATTATCCCGGCTCAAGGTCACCAGTCAGTCACCCAGTTTTCTTCATTCATCCAGCAAGCTGCCCATCCCAGTATTCTAGATTGTGCTGTGTGATCACAAAGAAGCCCAAGGCTCCGTGTGTCTCCCTGACTCCTCCTCCCTTGTTTATATTCTTGGGAAACTTAATCTGCAGAAAATGATATGTGAGCACATTGATGCCTAATCCCCGCCAGAAGAGGAGTCAGGAGGCCTGGCTGCTATTCTAACTTGTTTCTATTCATTCAACAGATATTTTTATTTTCACATACCCACCATGTGAGTGAGTCCGTCCTAGACATTAGGTGTTCACCGATGGACAACACAGACGAGTTCCCTCCTAGAGCTGAGAGTACAGACTTGCCTTGTGACCTTTCCTTCTCTGTGCCTCAGTTTCCTCATCTGCTAAACGTGGAAGGTGAACTTGACTTGCAGACCCACAGCATCCGCATCTCCTGGGAGCTTGTTAAAGATGCAGAATCTCCTCCCTACGCCAGACCTCCTGAATCAGAAGCTACATTTTTATAGGATCCCCAAGAAAGTCAAAGTGAAAAGGGAGGATCTTTAGGGACCCTTGCAATTGCCACATTCCAGAGGTGGTAGCCACTAGCCACACGTGGCTGCTTAACGTTAAATTAATCAAAATCAGCTCCTCAGTCACACTAGCCACAATTCAAGTGCTCGGTAGTCACATGAGGCTAGAGGCTATCATACCTTACTTTACATCATCCAGAAAGTTCTATTGAACATGATATTCTGGAGTCTCAGGGCATAAGTTGTGTGGCTAAAAAACCTTTGGCCCGGGTTTGTGAGTGAGGATCCTTCAGGTCAGTGCATTTCTTCATTATTCATTCAACACAGGCACATGTGGCCCCTTCTGCCTGCCAGGTGCTGTGCTGGGCAGCGGAGCTACGCTCCAGGTGAGACCCCACCCCTGTCATCGAGGGGTCGCAGGTCTTGATTCTCAAACCTGGCTGAGCATCCTGAGCATGTGGAGATGCATAAAGCACCACTCTGTGGGCCTCAACCCTGGAGATTTTGATTGGGTGGGGCACGAGGACCCCTAGATTATGCTGATGCAGCGTGCAAGGCCCCAGTCTAGCAGAGAGCTAGATGTGGACACAGCCAACTCAATACTGCCTAGAAGTGCTGTAACTAAGTGAGGTGTACAAGGTACCCTGAGCTGGAGGAAGTGACATCCTGGGAAGGCCTTGCAAGTGCTTCAGCGGAGACTTGGAGAACCATAACGGCTGTACTCTCCCTGGACATCTCATTTAAGCCAGTGAGGTAGGTTGAGGAATCTGAGGCTCAGAGAGGCTAAGCAACTTGCCCAAAGCCACACAGCCAGTAAGAGGCAGAGCCAGGATTCAAACCTAGGCACTCAGGCCTCTGAATCCAAGGTCTTAACTGTTCCAATGATGGGGACAGTGGGCAAGGCATGCCCACTGCAACCCCCCTTAGGCAGCACTGCTGCCCCATCTGGCCTACCTGTAGCCCCAGGGCGACAGGCTCCTCTTGTTGGACAGCCACAGCTGCAAGTTGACCTCACACTTCCTCCTGGCTGGCTCAGAGCTGTTCCTCAGCTGGGCCACCATCTCCTCAAGGTTCCTCTCGTATTCCTCCATGCGGGCATATGGCTTCACTCGAGACACCAGGTCCAGCGGCATCTGGTGAGGCCCAGGGGCCAGGGGCCCAGACTGCCCTTGCCCCTTCCTCTTGCCTTTGGGGTTTCTAGGCTGGCCCAGCCCCAGGAAGATGGAGATGATGACAAGGAACAGCTGGGGAGGAAGGCCACATGGCAAAGGTGAGAGAGCTCTGGACCAAGGGAGGGGAGAGGAAAGAGAAGAGGCCACTATAGGGGCCACCCTCACCTGCCATGCCCTGGCCTGGTCCCACCAGCCCACTGCACATGTGTATCAAAACCTATGCACCACATCACCACTAAGTCCTGTCTGTTGCGCCTCTTAAAAATCTCCCACCCATCTACTTCTCTCTGTGTACCGCCTTCCTCACCTCCCTGGACAGCTCAACAGTCTCTTTACCAGGTCTCTGCAAATCCTACCCCCACCTCCCAGCTTTGCAAATCTGATGAAGTCACCTTCCAGGGCCTGAGCTCTCCCTCCTCAAATCACTCCTGGCTTCCTCTCACACTTCGCTTCAGCCTGCAGCCTTCTCTCAATCCCGTCCTGTCACCACGCTCCTTCCTGCCACAGGGACTTTGCACAGGCTGCTGCCTACAGAATCCTACCTCTCCTCCTCATGTTCTAAACGCCTCTCACCCTTGTCTTGGCTCCAGTGTCACTTCCTCAGGGATGCCTTCATGGACCTTCTTGGGCTCTCAACGCCACACGAGCCTTGCAAGACTGCAGTCTTACAGTTTGTGTGTGTGATTCTTTTACATGTCTGCCCCCTACTAAGCACAGACTCCATGAAGGGCAGGCCTCGCGTCAGTTTCCACATACTGTCTGATCCCTCATGTCTGAGTGAATGAATAGTTCATCCTCCCTGCCCCTCTGGAGCTTACAGTCTGGGAGGGAGAGCAGACGGGACACAAGATAACAAGCACAGAATTCTTGCTCATGGGTGTAACGGCAGGACTGTGCAGTGTGTAGGTACAGAAGAGCAGGGCCACCCGCTCAGCCCAGTGGCAGTGGAGGGGTCTCACAGAGCCTTTCTGGGGAGAGGACATGTCAGGAGAGTTTTGAAGGATAAGAGGGAAGCAGATGTGGGCAGAAGGGGTCTGTCAAAGCTTACGGGTAGGGGGAACAGTGTGAGGGGGGTCTGAGCTGGTGAAGGGAAACAGCGAGGCTGAAATAGAGTAGGTGGGAGGCGGGGGCATGAGATGAGGCTGGGGAGACGCGCGGGCCTTGGGCCAGGGTCCCTGTTGGACTCCATCTCCACGACACCTGTGCTCCCTTCCTCCAAGCTCGACCCTCTCGTCCCCTCCTCGCTGACTTGTATCCACCCTCCCCAGAACCAGGAGTGTCAGGAGAGCCTCTGGCTCACACAGAAGAGGAGCTGGGGGCCCAGCAGAACCCAGGCTCCTCAGGGAGCCACGGAGAGAAGGGCCAGGACTTGGATGGGGGCAGGACCGGCCAGAAGGGAGGAATCTCCAGGGGGAACTTCATCTTGCTGAATCTGGCCTGGCTTCTCCCTGCCCTGGATCCCTCACCCCATAGCCCGCATGGCCGTGCCTGGTTTATCCAGCTCCCCAGCAAGTCTTGACCCTTGGAAACAAGTTTCGGCATAGCCCCTCTTGGCAGAGCCATCTCCTGGCGCAAACTCCACGACAGAGATTCAAGTCACTAAATTCTTCCTTTTTGGTCCTAGATTCTGGTGCAGAAAAATGTCTCGCTAACAATAGGCTCTCTCATCTGAGCTTCTCATGTGGCATTCTTAAAGTCTGCCTCTCTGCTCAGAACCCAGCATAGAATCGAGTCCCCGTCCCTCACTTTACAGATGGGAACCAGAGAAACAGAAGGACTTGCCCAAGGTCACACAGCCTGGATCTCAGGACTCAGGGACGCTTTGGAAAAACCCAGATAACTGAGTTTGCCAGGACGTCCCAGGGATGCCTTTGGCTTGAAAGGGATTAGTGTGGACGGGCCGAGCCCAGTTCGGGAGCCTGAGCTACTGGGCATGGCTGCAGGCTCTGAGACCAGTCTCTTTCTCCCTGGTGCTGGGGGAGACAGAGTGAGAACTCACCTCTGCAGATTCCAAACCAAACAGAGGCAGCCATCAATCAATAGGAAAGAAGGAGCGAAACACTCAGGCCTTAAAAAGGGGTGGGGGTGGGGTGGGGAAGCGCCACGTACCAGGTTGTGCGGCCAGTCCATCCCGCGAGCCGGGCGGTGGGCCTGCAGCTGCCGCCTGCCTGGAACCCCAGATGCCTCCGCCAAGAGAATGGCAGCAACAGGATGGAGCGAAGCAATTATAGCTCGTCAGGGGGCTGCTGGGGGCTGGGTGGGTGGGTGGGCTCATCATCGGCTGGGAGTCTCGGGCCCCCAGCGGGCTGGGCCTGGCGCAGTGGCAGGCGGCGAAGGGCGTGGGGGCAGGCCAGGAGCCCGGCCGAGGTGCCCAGGGGCTGTTGACTAAGGGACAATGCCCTGTGTGTCTGGCGGGGCTCTGGCGGGTGGCACCTCCGCCTGTGGCCTGCGGCCGGCCGCCCGGCCAGCACCCACAGAGCCGGCTAAGACAATCAGCTTCGTTTGCTTTGGGGATGGCAACCGGGCGAAGGGGGAGGAGGTACGGGCTGTCCGTTGGTCAGGAGAGCCAAAGTTCTCAGAGTGTGCTGGCCAGGAGCGGGACACAGGCCACATGTCCCAGAGAAACAGTCTCAGGCACTCAGCCTCAGCCAGCCTCAGGTGAGCTCAATGGCCCTCGGTGACCAGAGTCCCACCCCCTCAGTTCACAGGCTGGGAAACTGAGGCAGGAGCGAGGAAGGGCCTTGCCCAGGATTACACAGGGAGTTCGACATGACAGAGCTGGGGTTTGTGCCTGATCCCTGTGCAGGGCTCTATCCGCCACCCCAGGCTGTTTTTCTTGGGATATTTTCTGCACAGTTCCGGCCTGCTGTGAACATGTTTCTGAATGTGTGCTCTCATGCAGGCCAAGTCTCGGATCCCTGCGGACCTCACGGCCGCTTGTCCTGGCCTTCCCGATGCAGCGCCCTGCCTCATGTACAGACCGTCTCCACTCCAGGCCCTGCCCATGTGGGGCTACTTCTGACTTTGATTCTCTCTCAGCCTCAGTTTCCTTCTCTGTAAAACAGAGGTCTGCCCAGGAGTCGACAGTGACCTGGCCCATTTCTCCCTCAAATCTCTCTGAGTCTCTCAGCTCCCACATCTCTAGAATGGGGATAATCAAAGCATCCACCTCTTGAGCTATTATAAGGAGTAAAGGAAATAACCCATGTTAAACAGCTGGCTTGGTGCCTAACGCATAGTAAGTGCTCAATAAACACTTCGCTGTTTATTGTGAAAGGAATTGTTATTCTAAACATTCGCCGTAGAGCTAGCACGGTTCTCTCTGCTCAGCCAGCTCTCCCTTCCCCCGGCTCGGGCCCACCCTCCTGGCTGGGAGAGCCCTGGGCTTCACGGGCTCAGGCCACAGTCTCGTGAGCCCAGGTGACTCCAGGGTCCACAGGTCCTGGAATCACCTTCTGAATTGACCCCCTTGCTGGGAAAGATCTCTCCCCTCAAGCGACAACCCGGCCAAACGTGAGTGAGCGAGTCCACGCAGGGAGGCGGACGAGGGGGTGGGAAGGAGTGTGAAGAAGATGGGGAGGAACACTGGGAACAGACAGCCAGGACTGCACAGGCTTGCTGAGGGCCACTCTTGGCCATTTACAGGAATCGGCCGAGGGGAGGCACGCGGGGTACGAGGCGCTCCTGAATGTCACAAGATTAATCTGTCCAGGGCAGGTTTCCACAGCATAACTGAGGAGCTGGCTGAGGCTCCAGCTCATCGAGAGATACCACCATATTTGGTCAAATACTAGACAAGGCTCTATTCTATCACTGGAAACTCCAGAGGGAGGGGGACTCTGAAAATACCTCCTCAGGCAACAAGGGCCCCCACTCCCACCCCAGGCTGTCCCAGCCCCGCTGCCACTGTCCTTTGAACAAGGAAACAGCAAGCATGAGGGCAAAAGACGGGGACAGCCTGGTTGTATTCCATGCAGGCTCCTTGCCACCCCTGCTGCTGCCAGCGGCGGGCTCTGACAGACATGCAGCTGGGGTGGCCCCTCCCTGCACCCACAGGAAGGTGGGGAGAATAAAGCAGGAGGACTGGGGTGCAGGGGGTTCCTCTGCTTCTCAAGAGCCCTGAAACCACCACACGGTCCTTCCCTGCTGGAACACACACCCCTTGCCTCCATCTTCCAAAGACAGGACTTACCGGCCTCCCCAGCTTCCAGCTTCGTTGTCCGGGGTCCTGGCCCCAGAGTTCTGATGTGGGAAGCCCCAGAACCTGCACTTTAACAAGGACCCAGTCTGGGAACCGCAGGGGTCCTTACCCATCATTTAGCTCATGCTCCCACCCCCACCCCCATTTTACCACAAGGAGACCAGCCCCCAGGGAGGGACCGGCCTTACCCAGCTCACACAGCATGTTTGTGCCGGAGGTGGGAGCACAGCTCAGGCTCCTAGTTCTTACTACTCTTCCCCCAAACTGTATACACACAGGTCAGAGCCAGGCTGGGCCTCTTTGCTGGTCTGGAGGGAGCCCAGGAGCTAGGCCAGTCCTTCTGGGGGCCCAAGACCCCTCACAATGGGGAGAAGGAACTGTGGGGTACCCAGGAAGGGGCTGTGGGGAGTCAGGGATAGGCCCAGTGACCAGCTTTGGGTTTCCCATTCTTGGGCCATCTCAGGCCAGGAGGAGGGCCCTTCCTCCAGCCTCAGTTTCTAGAAACCACTGAAGGGTCATCTGCACTCGGGGATGTCCTGAGTGTGAACCCTGGCAGACCACTGTGGGACCCAAACCCAAGCCAGGCCCAAGAGGGAACCATAGGAACTTGGGCAGGGCCTTCTGCCCCACACCAAGGTGGGGTCTGAGGTCTGTTCCCACGGGAGGTGGTGGGTACATGTGAATGACGGAGGGGCGCATGGGCTGGAGACTGAGGGACGGGGGTGGTTGTGCTCTGAGCCACCAGAGCCCTCAGCTCATCCAGGAGCCGTGCTGTGCTCTCCGCCAGGTGGCACCACCAGAAAGCCAGATGTCCCAGAGAAGGGCGGCAACCTGCCGGAGCTTCGCCAGCCGCCAGCCGTCGCTTTTCCCTGGATTGGGCCCTGGGACTGAAAATGAGGGGGCTGGTGAGTGGGCACTCACCAGCTGCCTGAGCGACCCTGCCCAGGACGCCTTCCACCTCCCGGCAGGAATGGCACAGCCAGCTGGGAGTCAGGGCAGGATGGGGTGGGGGGCCTCCCTCTGATGTGTGAGTGATTCCCTTCGGGGAGCACCTACTATGTGCTAGGCATTTGGAACCTAGACACCATAATTTTCAGAAAATAACAATTAGTAATAATAATCGCTGGCACTTAATATCTACGTACTGACTGCGAGGCACTGTGCTAAGTCCTGCATGTGCATTGTTTCGTTAAATCCTCCCAACCACCCTAATTTTATCCTGAATCTGCGGATGGGGAAACTGAGGCTCCAGACGCGCAAAGTCACAAAGGATTCAAGGCAACTTTGTCTGATTCCTGCACGTGCTGTTCCCTGTAGGGGAGGAAGGAGACAAGCACTGCAGCCAGGAGAGGAGGGCAGCGTGCGGCTGGTCGCTGGGCATCCGGGAGGGTCTCTGCTAGCCCCAGCCCCATCCTGACATCCTCAAATAGACCGGGCCCGGAGCTTAGGGGAGATCATTGAGTCCAAGCCCAAACCAGAGTCCTCAGGGGATCTGAGAACTCAGGGTGTGGGCATGGGACCCAGCAATGTTCCTGGCACACAGTAGGCATTGACCAAATATTTGATGCATGGAATCAGAACAGCTGTACTTCAGGGTGAAAATGCTGGAATGGAGAACGGGAGACCAGAGCCCTGGGGACCTGAAGGAGGAGGTGCAGCCCAGGGGGTAAGAGTTCAGACTGCAGAGCTTGATAGACCTGAGTTTTAATCCTGCCTCTATCCCGTCACGGCTGTGTGACCTGGGAAAGTTACTTGGCTTCTCTGAGCCTTAGTTTCTTCTGCACATTGGAGGGGATAATAACTTAACTCTCAATGGATAGCTATGAGGATCAAATGAGACAATGCATATTAAAGCACTTAGCAGAGTGCCTGACAAAAGTGAGCGCTCAATTAATGGTAGCTGCCATTGTCACTGTTATGGTTAAAACACGTTTTGAGTTGGGCCTTCAGGGATGCTTCTGCAGTGTTTCTAGGTAGGAAAGGCAATATGAGGCGGGGACAAGGATAGAACCAGCAGAAGAACGCAGAGGCTCCCTGTTCCCGGTGGACCTACCTTGGAGGCTCTGTTGGGTGGGGAGGACCTGCGGGATTCCGCCTAAAGACTTGCCCAAGTGGACCCAGTCAGGTGGGCAGGCAGAGCAGATTAGCAGGCGCCTCTGCTGCAAGATGAAGGGGGCTGTGACCAGGAGGGCGCATCCTCCCCAGGAGGTCTTGGCTCTCCTGCTGTGCTGCCCACCCGCACCACCCCCCCGGGTCGGAGTCCTTCTCCCAGGCCCATATTTGCACAAATGCCTGCCTCCCTGCTCGCTCCAGAGCCCCAGCCAAGAGGCACTATTTTAAGCTCCCTGGACGGGAACACTGTTGGTGGGAACAGACCCAGCCAGCAGACTCCCAGTTCTCAAAAAAGGGAAAGGCCCGGGTGAATCGGCGGCCCCTGGGATGTGCAGAGGGGCCGCCACACCCACATGACCCTCTGCCCAGGCCAGGTGCCAGTGCCTTCTCCCCAACTGGGGGGGAGGTGGCGGGGGTGGGGGGGAGGGGGCGGTCAGGGAAATTCGAGTTGAGGGAGGGCTCCAAGAGATGGGCTTGTGCTCTGGGACTGGGGGGCTGAGGCCTCCCCTCGGCCCAGCATCCAGCCTTGAAAACACCAAGTTTGTGTTCCTGGGTGGCAGGTTGGCTCCCCACGGTAGCTGGTCTCTTGTTAGCGCTCGCTACCCACAGAACCTCGGAGCTGTGGAGATCTTGTGCAGCCCCTACCAGTGGAGGGACCCCTTGGAAAGCATCTTCACTGGATACCTCCTGCCTGTATAGGGAGATCATTTCTCTCTGAGGATGCACACCCCGCTTTGTAAACCTCTAGCTTTTGAAAGTCATAATCATAAAAGTTTTCTCTTTCATTATGCTGAGCTCCCCTCCTGTGATGTGATATGGTGTAGTGGGAGACTGCAGACTTCAGAAATGGCTGTGTCCCTTCTTAGGTGGCCATGTCCACCCTTCCTAACCTTAATGAGCCTCAGTTTCCTCTTAGGGTTGTTAAAATGGATTTATCATAAAAAATATGATTTGCCTGGCATACAACTGATGTTTAATATTTGGCAAGTCTGGGCTGTTTTTATTGTAATTTGGTCGGTTTCGTGTGTGTCTGTGTTTGTTGTATGGTGTTTTGGTGGGCGTGTGTGCTATTTTTGCTTTTTGATTGTGAAGAACAATTATAGATTAATATTTAAAGCACAGACTTTGAACCAGAGTGACCTGAACCCCAGGCCCCTCCATGCAACAGCTGGATCACCTTGGGGGAGTGACCTAACCTCTCTGAGCCTACTGTGTTCTCCTTGAAAGGAGTGGGAATTCAATGTGATAATGCATGTAAATTGCCTGGCACAGCATGGTGCTCCATGAATGGTCCTGCTATTATTTTGCTGTACACGTTGTTCCTAGCTCTGCTCCATCAGGTCACAGAGAACAATTCTAGTCAGCTCTCTTCTAGAACTTTCCAACTGCCAGAATCCCAGGAATAGAATGGATTGCCCCAGGAAAGTGTGAGCTCCCCATCAGCTGAGATGCATCAGCAGAGGCCCGTCGATCAGTTGGATGCTGTGAGGGAGACTCAAGAAGAGGAAATGTTGGGTTTGTTGAGCCTTAAATGTTCCCCTCCAGCCCTGAGCTGTCCCAGTCTTGTATCAAAGGCCTCAGGCCCCGCTGTGGGGCTGTCCTGCCTGCCTCGACTTTCCCAGGCCTGGGACAGGAAGGAGCCCAAGGGGGCCCACAAGAGATATGGAATAAACAGCCTGTCCCCAGAGCAGACGGAGGCGCCGGGCCCCCCGCCCACGGCATATCCTCCCCTGGGTCCCGGGGGATGTTTATACTCTGGTCAGAGTTTACAGGACGTCTGGACTTACAAGATCCAGAGTTCTGACTTTCCCCCAAAGCTGTCAGCCCCTCCTCTTGCTGGGTGGGTCTGCGTCGATCTTGGGTGGGAGGCCTCATCCTCCAGCAAATGCAGGAAAAAGGTACAGTGTGAGAAATGTTCTCTTCAGACCCCCAGAGCCAGGACCCCAGTGGAGGAAGAAGCCTGGGCTGTTTGTGGGAGAGGAGTCCAGGGGGAGGTGGAGTGGGGGCGGGAGAGGGACTTCCTCTGCCGCTTGGAGTCAAAAGCCTGCTCCCCTGAACAAAGCTAAAAATGGGTGGTCTTGATCAAAGTCTGCCTTACACATTGGCTTCTGCCATCGGCTCAGGTAGCGCTATTTTTGTTGTGCTTGTTCTGGAGGACACGTGTGTGGGTGCGAATCTGTGGAAGGAGTCTTGTGTGTGTGCGTTTTGTCTGGTTACCGTTTTGAAGAGTCAGGAGGTGAAAGCTTTTGGAATGCAGCGAACACGTATTCACACACGTGCTTCGTGTGTGCCTGGCTCCGGAGCCTGGGGCCGGCTCTGACCACGGCAGGACTTGTTGAGGGAGTGGAGAAACCCTGAGAGCTACTCACCACCCACCACCTAGGGGACAGGCAGCAACACTGAGACACATCACACCACCCTTCAGCAAGGAGCCTTGGTGGCCATAGCCGAGGCCTCTGTCCCCACCCTGCCTCCCCTCGGAAAACAGCCTCAGAAACTTAAGGCTCTTAGTGCTGCAGTAAATTCCAACCCTGGCCTCCTGCACAAGCTGTGCCTGAATCTGTCGGGGGACGACACTGAGAAGCTCCCCCAGTTGGGGTTTCAATATCTTACCGAGATGCTCTGTAAGTTTCTACAAACTGTGACCTTCAAGGTATGGGCAATGCCTTGAGAGTTCTTGAGGAGGGGTCATTTACTTCATTTATTCATTTAACAAATATATGTTGAGCACCTCATATATGCCAGGCACTGGACTGATCAACTGAAACAGTTCCTGAGTTTATCTTCTCATAGAGGAGGGTGGATATAAGAATATTGACATTTTAGAACCAGCCTACAGCTTAGGGACTCCTGCTGGGCCCCTCTCCTCTCAGTCTCCTGCATCTCCTGCCTCCGTGGGAACGGCCGCATCTCCTGGGAAGCCCATGACCTCAGCCCTGGGGCCATGTGGAGGAAGGTATGATGTCTCCAGAATGTAAACTCTTGCCAAATTTCCATTGGCAGGTCGGTTCTCATAAATATTGGATTTGTGAGGAAAGAGGAAGAAACAGCTAGTGTGGAATCTGATCATTTCCAAAGTCTGGTTCCCAGGAAAGACACCTTGATAATTGTTCTACTGTTAGAAGACAGCTTCAAGGCTTCCGGCCCTGGGAGATGGAAGTGGTCCAGCCATAGGACCTGGACAGGTGCTGTTGAAAATTGCCTGGTGGTAAGAGTGATACACTTGCATGTGGATCGCACTCTACAGTTTACAAAGCATTTGTCCATGCATGACTTTATTTCCTCCTTGTTTCAATCCCGTGGGAATATAAAGATTTTTACAGCAGAGGAAATGGAGGTCCAGGGAAGGGAGGACAAAAGGGGCAGAACTTCAGATGAAACCCTGGGCCCCTGAGGCCACTTTTGGCCACCACCCACCCTAACCTTTGCCCCAGCTCAGGAGTGTTAATGATCATTGGAACGAGGCAGTGGTTAGAGGCGGGCACCTGTGTCATTAGGCAGCGTACACAGAATGCCAAAGTCCCTCCCAGTTGCCGTGAGCGTGGCCTGCTGTGCTCTGCAGACTAACCTACAATGGAGGGAAATGTGTCTGTTGAGGGGGCTCTGTGCCAGGGGGACATGTTTTCTGAGTCAGCTCTGGAGAGAATTCAAGGGTCGGGCTGACCCCGAGCTCCCTCTCCCCCAGGGGTGTGCTCTTGGAGAGAAATGAGTTGTTTGGCTCTTGGGGCTGGCCATCACATAGCTATGGCCACAGTTTTGTGTCTTCCATATTGGGATTCCTTTGCGTTCTATCCCATTATCTCAACCACACAGTTGGCTCTGACCCTGTCATTCCAGAATCACTTGCAAATCTCATTGTTTAGACCATTTCTCAGAATCACAGGCTCCGTGGAAGCTTGGGGGTCATTTTGCTGGCTTCCCAATGAGACTGCTTTCAAAAGCTCCCAAGTTTCTTATCAGCCTCTACTTGTTTCATATGTCTACCTCCCTGCTCCTTCCATCCACTGATGACAAATTTGCTCTTTGAGAATATACGGAATAAAACTCTTCCCTCTGCCCCAGGACAAGCAGTATCAGTCAGGATGGGCCAAGCTGCGCTGCAATAACAAACAACCCCCCGATCTTGGAGGCTGAGTCCAGCGAAGATGTCTGTCTCACCTACACTACAAGGGCCATGTAGCCTGCCAGGGCGTGCTTGGCTCATTAGAGTCACCCAGGGACACAGAATAATGGAAGCTCCTTCACGACACTTGCTTCCACCAGTACCACAACAGGATCAGAGGTCTGTCGGCAGTAGCTTTAAAGAGGTCAGAAATGGATTCTGGAGTCTCTGCTCCAACTACTCCTTTTCTTTTTCTAAGTTCAGCTTCTTATCTGTAAAATGAGGCTAATGAAAAAGCACCTACCTCACAGATGTGCTGGGAGGTTAACTGAGAGGATGGATGGAAGCCCTTAGCTCAGAGTCTGGTTCACAGAAAGAACTCAATAAATGTCAGCTCTTATGATGTTATCATAATATTTTAACTTAATAGTGGCTACTGTCTCCAGACAGAACAGCAGTGCTTTCCACTCTTCCCCGTGTTGACCAGTTTGAATTCCTTCGAAGAGTTAAGGGAGTCTTGTTTTTTTCACAAGTCGTTTTCACATTATTTTTTATGCATTTTATCTCATGAGTGAGGCCCTTAGGGGTTTAAGCTGAGGCAGAAAAATGTATATCTATGTGTCTTGCCAACCCCAAACGAGATTCACCCGTTGCTTCATCACCAAGTCCTTTTGAGGAGTCCAGAAAAGGGAGGTCAAATTTGGAGACGAGTCCTCGCTTGAGATAAAACCCCGATGGCAGAGAGACACAGAAATCAAACTGTAGAAGGTCGGAGGGGAAAACGGCTTTTAGAACAAGCAAGTCTCATCATGTTTTCTCTTTTACAAATGAGGAAACACAAGTCCAGAGAGGGAAAGAGACTGAAACAATGTCACACAGCAATTCAGCATCAGAGTTGGGGCCAGAACCCGCTTCCTTTAATCCCAGCCTTGGGGCTTTCTGCACACCACATAAGGGGACAACATTTTTCACCACTGAGATA